GGTGTTTTTTTTTTTTTTTTTTTTTTTTTTTTTTTTTTTTTTTAATGTATCTAACTCAATCTCACGTCGGCACGGCTTGCTAGCTGCATAATTCAGCATATCAGCGTGTGCAGTTCAGCATACCAGTTTTATGAGAATTGAATTCTTCATAATTTCCGCGTTAAATTTGTGGAAAGAGATTTAGCCCTTAGCATGAATCACAGGTTATTTGCATAATTAAAAGTTTGTCGGCATTAACCGCTTTTTATTTCTATAGTTTTTTAAGACAGCAGTAGCAGTTGTGTGATTTTATCCTTTTTTGAGTCATATCCATCTCTTTTTAGTGCACTTATTCTCGTATTTTGCATCCCGTATTTGTAGAATTAATTTTAAAAAAAACTACTGTTTTCTTGTTTTTCTTGATATCAGTGCAGCTGGTAGCTGTTCCTTTCCCCATTGAACACATCTAGGATTGCCCTGACGCCCAGCACTCAGGCATTTTTGGCGCGCGAAGAATGTACTTGAATCTGCAAAATCTGGCGGTATGGGGGATAGATTGAGTTTGCCTCTGCCTGTTTTCTGGCATTCCTGCTCTGCTTGCTTGATCCTTAGGATCTCCAGGGATGACTGTGAGGGAATAGTGTGCAGTTCTTGTTTCACTCCTGTTGTTTTTAAACAGCCTGTGACAATGGATTGTCTCGTGCGGACGATGTTGTATATCTTTGCTTCCAGGTTATTTTGCATATGTAAACAATTTCGGCTGCATAAAGAGATAGTCTCATTTACAATTGTGCACATTGCTCGTCGTATGCGATTGGGGTCCGTCTCGGTTTCGCGCAGTATTCACAGGGAACGAGTGCTTCCCCTGGACTTTTTTTTCCTGGACTGCGTTCCCCCATGCAGCAGTAATTTGCCGCCCTATCAGACACCATAGTTCGATGACTGCTACAAATTGCGGCAATGAACTGGACATTTATGGCTTGTTTTTATTCTGGACTTGCTGCTAGTAACTGTCATGTCATTTGGGATCCTTGTGGTGGGCCGTGGCTTCGCGATTTCAAATCTGATGCTGATCAAGGTGGATTTGGAGAGGTTGCAAGGGCAGCATTTATGTTGTGGAGGTAAGATTTTAGGGGCCCAGCATATTGTTGCTTATCGAAACCATTCGTGTAATGATGTGATTAGCGGAGCAGTACATTCCACATGGTCTCATGGTATCCCAAGTTTTCACTTTTTTCGATTTTCCAAATCTTATCTTTCCCATCTCGTGATTTTCGCTGAGGTACTTCCTCGTAGCCTGGAAGTGGCAGTATTCTAGACGAGTATGTGCTACTCAGCACCATTAACGACATCTGGAAACCTGAAGCGTTGCCAAATGCTTCTGGCTGCTAAATTTTTAATCTTTCCAGAAAACGGTATAAGTACTAGGCTTACTAAAAGGCTGATTATCAAGCAATGCAAGATTGGTCAGTTTGACAAGAAAATTGAACAGCTTCGTAGTCGGAGAACCAAACTGTGAATGAATAGCTTTCCCAGGTATCCAACATATATATTTTACGAAGAACGCAAAAATTTTCAAATTTTTATAGATTTCTGTTTGCTAGAAATTTTCACATTTTTGACTTTAATCATTTGCAAACTTCCAGACACGAAGCAATATATAAATAGAAAATTTTACGGAACCAAAACATTTTCAGTTTGTTAACTGCGCCGGTGGTCGCATAGTTCATAATGTCGGATAAGCCCACTCCACCAAAGTACCATTCTCCAGCTCTTCAAGAATGTGCCAACGTCCAAGCACTTAAATTTCATTAGTGCTGCGAGTTTTTTCGCTCTTATGATTGTCCCTTCAGTTCCGCAGTTCCTTGAGTCTAGCTAAATTACCTAATTTTTGTTGGTTATTCGCATGCTCGAAGATGCAAGCGTCCCAAGATTGCTTGGAAAAAGAAATCCAGATTTTCTCTATCAGACATGAAAACTTTAGGATTTCTGTTTCATTTTGTCTGCATATGGTCCGTAGAGTTTTGAACGGATGCCTATTTCATTTTTGTGCTTCTTTTCGCCATCAGAGCAGCTGGTTGCTCAGCTTTGAACTTGCCGAATTCGTGAAGTTACTTCTAGAATCTGCAAAATCCGCGAGCAGTCTTTTCGAAAGGAATAAATATAGAAGCATAAAATAATTTCCAATATATACTTTCTGGCATCGACTGTTTACGCCTCAAAAACAAGCTCTTTTTTAAATCAGAGTCATCAGAAAGCCTCAAGCTGGTAACTCAGACAGTGACTAAAATAGGAAGGAAGCGGAATTGTATTTGAATTCTCCTAGCAAATAAAGTTTAAGCCTACTATAACCAAGAGAATCCAGATATTTTCCAGTTAATTGTCTACTTCCACACATGCGAGATACTGCGACAGAGTCGAAATGCATGAGGTAGAAATGAGGATAAAAGAACTGAAAGAGAAAAGGAGCTCAGAAAATACTTAAATATGATATTTCGGTCCACTAAGCTTTGCACCATAACTGGACCTCGTCAGCAATGGTTCTAGCGAATTTAGAAAGCACAGGAGAAAGAGGATAAGCCGAAAATTTACCAGGAATACCGGGCAGTCAGTAGGGGTGTACCGCATTAGTGATGCTACTGAGAAAAAGCCTACAAGGCATACAGGAAAGGCATACAAGAAAATGGCCAAAAGCAGGGAAAGTGGGGAAGTATGCCCTGTGACTTGTGTCCTTTAGCTGTTGAAGTATTTCTGTAATAATTGCGAAGCATAATTTATGCGAATTTTTAGTAACAGTGATAAGCTTAAAAAAATTATTATACACAGTCATAAGGATGCCTTTGCGGTGGACGTCGATCTGTTCGAAAAATATTCCAATAAAATTAAAAGGGTAACTTTATCTTAATTCCACGTTATTTCCGTTTGTCATTTATAATAAACAGTAATGTAGTACAGCCACACCGGCGGATTTCAACAGGGAGCTCAGGGTGGAAAGGCCTGGGATAGCCTTGCTATCTTCTCCCATAAAATTTTTCTGAAAATTGTGTTATTAAAAAAAAAAATTGTGTTGTGAGAAAATGCATTTGTGCCCGCCTAAATTTAATTCTCGTGTTTCAGCTGAATCAGCAGGACAAAGTGCCAAAAACGCTGGACTTTTCGAATTACGACGTAAAAGCGGTAGCAACATTTGTGGATTATATGGCAACCGGTGGTCGTACGAAAACCCGTATTACAACATCCATTCTCGGCGACCTAATGGAGATCGCACGTGTGCTGGAGATGAAACAATTGTATGAGAAGATCGAGGAAGTCTGCTTTCTTTCGTGCACAATTCTGACTAACAGTGCTTGTTTTGTTATGGGCTGGGGTAAAAATCAAGCAGAATGAACGATTCACGTCACAAAATCAGAGAGAACATTTGATTATGATGATGCGTACGCCAAGAATTCTCAACTCCCTCATCGTCACAAGAAGCCCTGTGCTGTTCCGTTTTTCTCACCAGCCGTAGCCGAACTCACTCATACCTCGGAAGCGCTGAGCCCAAATAACCCCGGTGATGTTATTTATCAGCTTCTCAGGGGAGTTATCAGGGGAGTCTCACGGGAGTTATTTATCAGCTTCTCAGGGAAGTTATTTTCAGTTTATATTAGTATCGGCGGTCAAAAGTCCACAGTTTCTGATGCACGCGCTGACGATGATCAGCAAAGAGATGCTGCTGAACACATCGCTTGGAGGCAAAGTTATTGATATAGCGGTCAGCGAATTCCCTCGTATCGCCAAAAGCTCCCCATTCAGCGAGGTTCCACTGGACGTTGTTCTCCGTATTCTCGATCGGTTCGTTCTTTTGTTCACTCCCACTCTAAGCATTTAGTGTATTCGCAAGCGGCTCTACTCTTGTGCTGAAGATCGGAGGTCTTAACACACCAACGGATAAACCAAATGCGCGCAGGAATGTAAACGCAGGGAGAAAAGAAGCAAGCAAAAAAGAGGTAGGAATGAGAGGCGAAGTAAACTAAAGTGTTTTGGCCCGTTGTACTGTCATTACTCTGTGATTCGTCCATTCGTTTCGATGGGAAATTGCTATCAACGCAGTCCGGGGAGTTAGACTTGGCAATAGCAAGCACTGAGAAAAGGAGGCATCGAGGGTCGTACCGGTGAATGATTATTAGGTTTATCGGTCATTCATAAATTCAGACTTTCTGCGCTGTATTTTTTCATCCAGTTATAGTTCGGAAGGAATTTTGACTTTTATTTTATTAGTAGTTTGTCGAGTGGCTGGCTTAAAAAACTAGTATTGCAGTTGCGATCTGAATCTTGAGACGGAATATGACGTTGTAGAAGCAGCAATATCATGGCTGACCGCTAAGCCGGATCGAGTGCACAGCTCATATCTGGTGCTCAGCTGTATCCGTATTATTAATTTGACACCGGAGCAACGTGTCGACCTTCACTCGCTCATTAGCACCATGCCCAATTACGCCCGAACTGTAATATTTTCTTTTTCTATTGCACATCAAATCCTGTATTTTTGTTGGATCAAATTCTAGCAGAGAATCTCGAAATTTCGAAGAAATACGACGGTACAGTCTATGCGCAGGTCAATGAAATCGATGTGATGACAAGCGGTACTACTCGCAAGCTCGTATCGATAGTTCGATTCGCAGCCCATTGATCAGTGATTTGCTGTGATGGAAAATCAGTACTATCCTAGAGCGGAAAGTCAAAACCACCATCATCCACTCTCGGAAGAAGTAATCGTCGAGCGATTGCTGTTGGAAATATGAGGCTACTTCGAAGGCCTCCACCTTCGTTGAAGCGTGAAAACTATGAGTATTTGATCTTTATCGATGCGTATGCCGCTTATCAAAGCATGCCAGGGAAAACAACTGGATTGGTTATGTGATATGAATGAGAAGCAACGAAAGGACAAAACTGATTGCTGAGTGGTATCAGCGTAGTGTTTCAAGAACAAATGAAAGGTTGCCAAGGTGTTGGGATAATCCGCTTGAACGGCACTATGGAATTTTGCGAATGAGATAAATTTAGGAGAGAGAAGGATGCTAAAGTTGCCAGGGACTGCGAGAAAAGAGGTGAAAATAAAACGACAGCGCATCAAATTCTCAAATGATTGAGGCGTTCCGTTCCATTAAGTTTGACACTTATTATTTATTCTCACGAACACTTACTAATTTTGTTTCGCCAGTGAGTAGTCGCTACGAGCTGGCTCCCATTCACACGGAAAAAATTTGGAAGCGCTTCCGAAAATACTCTTTTCTGTTTCATCGCGGTCTTGTTGTATCAGAACGAAAAAATTTCTTCCATATTGTTTGAGGTTATGGCATTTGCTCATTACGCCTTCAATAACACCAATTCGCATCGGGTGTGTGTTCTTGCTGAACATGCTTCCTACAAACGATGTGGCAACAGAGGAGGCAACAATGAATTCACGTAAGTCTCGAAACTCTCAGCCTACTCAGAAACATCGCGAAGCTGTATTTTGCTACCTTGATCGGCTGTTGTTTCATCGCACTGTTCCTCTTCACGGTCGATACCAGCGTCTCCATTCTGCTTGATGATGCATTTGGCTTCTCCATTTTAAAATCCCTTCCAACTTCGCCCCGTCCGTGTAATCCGAATGTGAGTGTGACTCACATCCATCTCTTTCTCCCTCATAAGCGACTTCCCCATTTTCGCCTAACACTCCAAAGCACTATTTAGCAGCATTAAAATTAATTGCAGCTGCTTCATTTAAAATGATTCTCATTCTTCAAAACGAGCCTGTTCAATTTTCGATCAAAATAGCAGTCAACGCATCCTGCCTGCCTGTTCCGGAAATCCTGAATAAAATAGAAACTGAGACTGTTTGAAAGCAATTCGATTTGGAGTTCTTACGCGAAGTTGTGAACTTATGAAAAATATTATTACCGATCCCAGGGTTAACTGTAATCCATCAGAGATTGGATTCTTACAAGCGACAAAGCAGAATTAGTTATACAGGGCTCCTAGACATTTAATAATCACTTAAGAACTAAAAATTCGAGAGCTAGAACTATTGTCGCGTGATAAGATGATAAGAAGCAATGCGTTTCCTTGCTCATCGGTTCTTGCACCCTGGTTTTCGAAAATTTATTATTTTGTAAACTACGGACTGATTGTTTCTGCTTCCAGGATTGCTGTTCCAACACGAAGGATCCTCTTTAGACGCAAAACGCCAATTAAAGCATCCTATGTTACAGCGAAACCAAGTAATAAATTCTCTTTCAAATTTATAGTTTAAATTTTAGATATACTATATCGAAGGTACCAAAAAGTAAAGTAATATTCGCCATATAATTTTTATATTTGTTATTTGAAGGAAATCAGAATTGAAAGTTGGCAAAAACATTGATGGCTTCTTGTTGCAAGAGGTACTTAAAAGAAAGCTGATAACTTTAAAAAATTCCAAAAGGCTTTATAAAAAAAATTCCAGAGGAAGTTTAAGAACAGTTTATAAAAAGATTTCTGAAAGTTAAAAGGGCTCAAAAAAAATTCTGGAGTTCTTAAAGCCCATCTTCAAGTTTCTAAAAAAAAATCAGCAAACATTTTTCTAGGAAAATATTCTACGGCCGTTGGAGCTGACTTTTTTTGCTTGAACTATAAAAATTTACAGATTTGTAAATTTTAGAAGGATCATCAGCAGAGTCCACGGAAAAAGAACATCCGAGTGATGCAGAAGAAATGAAGCGTACAGTATTCTCGGTATCCCAGGAGCGACGAACCACACGTGCCGAACGTATGGCGCGTTATGAGGAAGAGGACCGAAAGCGTAAGCTTTTACGATCATCCCACATCTCCTAACCGATGAAACCCCACCTCACTGTGGCCAGGAGAAGCAATTTCTGAGACGAGGCGATGATACTCAGAATACACGAATGGCATTTCAAAATGGCTGAAGCCTTGCTGAATGCTTCTATCGGGAAAACCACTGAGTTGGCAACCCCTTCAAAATACAAAAGGAATATCAGGATCAGCAGCACTGGTAAGAACAACAAGAAATGTTGCCAGTTGCATACTGGGGAACTAAATTGTGGATTAGTTGTTGCTGCAGGTATTACAGCGTATCGTATTCCTGCGAAAATGCTAATATGTGACACAGACTGTGTAGGGTTTTACGCCTGTGCGGTCTTCCTCCTTTTCATAGGAAATTTATAGCATCAAGCTTTAGGCAACAAGTAATTCGCTTTAATTCAGGCTGAACTACTAATTCTGCTATAAATTCAGTCCTCCTAACATAAATCAGGGCAGAACTTGAACCACACAGCCTTCATATATGTCTATATGTATTGTGAATGGCAGCATTAAAGTTGGTGGCTTTCCCTCAGATACCGTCCAGATGGCCTTTCTTTCCTCCCTCATTTCTTTCATCCTTTCTACACTGACATATAAGAAGCAGGTAGTTTTTTGCATGTGCTAGTCTCGACAGCCGCATTAGCACTGATTGATAAGTCCTCGAAGCTACAGACGGGGAGAAATTTTGACTTTTTCAGCTGTCTCTGAGATTGCCCCGGAGATTGATTTGGTGGCGGAGTTAGTTTGGAACCAAAGGCAAGCATATTAAAAATAGGATTGTGGAAAAATCAATGGGATGGGTAGATCGTTTTTCAATTGCGCCTAAGTATCAGGTTTCAAAAATTATTTAGGTGATGATATTATCACAGCATCACCTACCTGACCCAGCCGGATATGGCATTAAACGTTTTTAGGTGAAGAAAAGCGTCGTCGAAGTCGTGCCAGATCGCAGTCAGCGCAGCAGCAGCAGCAGCAGCAGCAGCAGCAGCAGCAGCAGCAGCAGCAGCAGCAGCAGCAGCAGC